TTTTTGTTTACTTTCAGCACCAAAAACTTTCGAATTGTTGCATTCAAAACATCTATAAATTTTTTTTTGAGGGGGCAGATGATAATTTTCAATTCTATGGGGAGCCGGGCCCCCCTGGGCTCCCCTTTCGTACGTCTATGGCAAGGAAGTTAAGCCATTGAAGTCGAGGATGCCCAGAAAGGAGCCTCTTAGCATCCGACAACGGAAGAAAATGAAACACAGTTACTAAAAATATCATTCTACATATACTCAAAATCTAGAAAATCTCTAAAAAAGTAAGAAAAATTTTATAGTGCCCTAGCGTGTTTTTGAAACTTTATTCACCTTTTGCGGAATTTTTAGGGTAATTTTTTCACTTTTCCCTTCGAGACTAGGGTTACACATGAATTCGTAGTGGTTTGTCACCTGCGTCACGGGCCCCTCCAGGGCCCGGGCCCCGGTACCAAGGACCCAGTATCCCCCCCCTTGTGGCGGGCCTGGGTGTAGGTAATGAAAGTAAAACTATGCGTACCTAATCGTTCCACCTTGTCCTTGAGGGTCTCCTGCTCGACCTGGGACTTGTTGAATGCCTGTTCGTCGAGGAGTCCATCCTTGCGGAGGAGCTGGCAGCCGCGCTCCATGAGACTAGCGCGGGCCTCCGGGTAGTCGGAGAGGGTCTCCCAGAGGTCCTTCTTGGCCAGGCAGAAGAGGTCCGAGTAGCCGAGGCTCCGGACGTTGGCCGTGCGGCGGTTCCCGGTTCGATTCCCGGCGATGTCGAGGACGCTCACCTCGCCGAAGACGCTGCCGGCCGAGAGGGTGGCCAGCACCGTCTTCTCGTCGTCGGCCACCACGCTCAGCCGCCCCCGCTTCACGATGTACATCTCCTTCCCCACGTCTCCCTTCCGGCAGATGTAGTCCCCCGGGCTGAACACCTAAGCAACACCACCAAACATCTCACATTCAATTTGGAGTACATTTTGTAAAACACTGGAAAAAAACACATTGGATCTAGAGTCCAGACTCTTAAAATCATCGACAAGAAAAAATACTCTTGATTCTATTAGATTTAAGCTTAAATCGAGAACCAAGCCTCTTAACCCCTTATTTCATAGCGTTAATTGCATGAAAGCAACAAATGGTTTTCAGCTTTATTTCTATGTTGGAGTATTAAATTGAATCAAAGCAAGAAATAATTTTTGGGGAACATTATATGCCTGATCTCCTTGCTTAGAAAAAAACCATAAAAATCGATTCCAACCGACTCTAGTGTCAAAAAAATACTGTACAATGTAGATTTCCTCTCCAAAATCAACGATTAGCTCATGCAACAAAGGGTTGATTTGAGCGGATTTCCTTTTGATTTAAGCTTAAATCTGATTGAATCAAGAGTCCTTTCTCTTGTTAATGTTTTCAAGAGTCTGGACTCTAGATCCAATGTGTTTTTTTTCCAGTGAAAGGAACCAGGAGCAATGCAATGTTGCCAAGATTGTGCAACTTCTTTTGTCTTAGAAGAAAAACCTGATTATCAATTGACAGTTTCTATTTACTTGTTAAAAACTGTAAATTTAAGACAAGAAACACCATGCACATTTCATATTTTTTCATGATATCAGTAATTTTTTTGCAAAGGATGAAGTTGCACAATCTTAGCATCATTGCACTGCTTCTGGTTCCTTTTTGCAAAATGCAATCCATTTATCAATATCAACGTAAAGCGTCCAGCCCACGTTCAATCTGGAGGCTTCAAAGATGCTCATCGATAGAACTGTTGACTGCTGCCTTCCCGATCGACGCTCTTTGAAGGTAATTGATGTGTTTGGGACACACCACGGATCAGATCTTGAAATTTTCAAGGAATTTTGTGCAGGAATGGCTGAGAAATTGAAGAATTAGTGCCAGTTTGAGAGCCCCAGTTTGAACGTGGGCAGGACGTTTAATTTGCCATCACTGAAAACAATCACAAAAACAGCCAAAATAGAACAGTGGGTCACCTGCGCTGGTCACAGAATCGTGTTTTGGTGATCGATTCTTGAAGATTCACTGAAAATAATAAAATCCGTCCGAACAGCAACTTCCTGCGTTCAATATTAAAAAGTCACATGATATGCGTTAAGAGAATGAAATATCAGGTCAATAGATCAGTTACGCTGGTAACAGAATCGTGTTCTGATGTTTGATTTTCATAAATTACTTAAAAATAAGGAGATCTGTCCAAACATCAAGTTTCTACGTTCAAAAAAACCGAGATATAGCCCTTCGAAAAATTCGGTTTATGACATCATCCACCGCGGTTGCGACACCTTTGGTTTCTCCCACCTTGCGTTCATCCTAATTTCACGTAGAGCAACCAGTGCTAATGTGTGTCTCCTTGATTGATAAAACCAAGGTGGAAAAAATCAAGGGTGTCACTACCGCGGCGGATGACGTCAAAAACCCAACTTTTCAAAGGGCGATATCTCAATTAATATTGAACGTAGATAGTTACGATTTGGACAGATCTTAATACCTTTAGCTAATCTACTAGAATCAAGCATTAACACAATTCTGTAACCAGCGCAACTGACCAATTGGATGAGTGAGATGGACACTCGTGAGCCCGCAGGACTATCGCGAGACGGTGTTTGGTGGAGATCCAAATGACGATACCCTCCTCGGAGTGACTCGCGGGCGAATTGCGACTGCAACTGTCCGTAACTGTCCGTAACTGTCCGTAATGGATTTGACCCGGCCGCGGCGAAGCGGCTGAGGCGGCCACCCTCGGACCATCAAACGCAAGCCCGACGAAAACGACCTGCATCAAGCGCAAACTACCGTCTCCCGCCCCCTCCCCTCCTCCCCCCTCACCGGCTTAAACCCCGTACTAAATTAAGCCAACTGCCGCAGAAACTGTGGAGGAGTACATCAGCCGCCCGTGCGCTTAAACCTCGTAAACTTGATTTAGCTCCCGGTTTATTTCTTTAAATTCCCTATTTCGGAGCCAGCTCTGATCGGGGGTGGGAGGGATGGGGTCCGGACAAGGAGCACTCGACCGAGAGCTACTCTTTTGTGGAGAAACGGCGTATGAGCATCAGAGCGTTGCCGAACTGCCTTCGTGACAATTTTTATTTATCTTTGGTGGTTCATAGATTTTTAATATTTATATAATTTATTGTGCTCGATACTGGATGGCCTGATAAACAGCACCATGCCCTAGTCGTTCGTACAAGAAGAAGAAGAAGAATAAAAAAAATTTGTAATTATAGAGAAGTAGTATGCTGCGACGCGGCGTGCTTGCCATCCAGCGTGAAACGCGCACTGACGCCTACAAACCTAAATGGATACTTCAAGCATTGCGCAATGCGTGAAGTATCCCGTTAGGTTTGTAGGCGTCAGTGCGCGTTTCACGCTGGCAGCACGCAGCGGCTATCCCGGCGGGCGGGTGGTGAACGAATTCTTGTGGGAAAAGCTCTCCGACGGATCGAGAATCTCGTGTATCGTGTAATTTATTTTTTTATTTTTTTATTTTTTTTTTTTTTTTTTTTTTTTTTTTTTTTTTTTAATTTTCGACTTTTAAAATCACACACTGGTCATGTGAAGTAATTAGTGAGCTCTCAACGCTGGATGAAGTGTAATAATGAAAGACGGGTCGTGCGCCATGCGCGCTGCGGAGAGTGGCTCATGAATGTAGGCTCAAGTGGTGAATTGTAGCTTGAAAATTTGACCCAATTATCTTGGGGCTATCAGAAAATGTGAAGCTCAAAACCCATATTTTTAACCCTAAACCTGCTGTTTAGTCGAACGCTTCGAGTCCCTACCGTAGTTCTGTTTTCCTGAATCCAACACTTACTGCGAATAAAACCTTCAAACAAAGACATAACGACGTCCGAGATTCCCAGAAAACCCGTGTTTCATCCGGAAAAACTTGGCAACATCTCAATAATCATACGTCGTTCATCCGTAACTCGACCGAAAGCGCGGTCCAAACTCTGGAGGGGGGGGGGTGAAAGAGGGATAGGATAGGGGTATCAAAAAACAAGAGGACGTAGCAAGTACACCGTCGACGGGATTATACCCGGCGAGGGATTTACAAGGCCGGGGGGGAGAGGAGGGAGGAATTTCATACACTGGAAGGGGGAGGGGGAGGTATCGCCGCGAGGCAAGGGCAGGGGTTACGGCGTGGCGCCAAGCGGCCCCGAATTATTGAACTCGACAAAAGCCACTTATCACGGATTCGCCAACGGTCTTTTTGCCAGTTCTCCTTGCAGCCCCCCCCCCCCCCCCCCCNATTACGGCCCTGGCTCTCCGCGATTCGATACTCCTGTCTTTCGCGAAGGTTAAACTCGTGGTGGAACTAAATAAATGTCGCTTTAGCCCTCTATTCGATACCCTCCTCCCCTCATCTAAAGACAAAATGATATAGCTTGTTGGTGCGCTAAGAGAACTCCTCTCGACTCTAGACCTACAAATGTGAGTACTCCTAAAACTTTTGCGGATAAACACGCATTAGCATTCGACAGGAAGAGGATACAAATTAAAGAAGAAGAAAAAGGATGTGATGAAAAAGAACCGAGTGTATCAGGAACGTGTCAAGTCGCCTTTTGGAAAAAAAGAAATGAGAATAGTTTTGAATTCAACTAATCGTAAATACTTTGTCAAAAATTCACAGCAGAGAAAAGAAGAGAGAAAAGAAAGAGAGAAAGAATATTTGGAACATAAAAATAGTCATTAAAATTTGTCCTTGACAGTGAGTCACAGGGAGGAATAAAACTTCAAACCTTTTTTTTCTCGCTTTAAACTTGATGCAACTCGATTCGTTTCTGTTAAATTTAGTCCAGGAAGAAGGAGGAGATAGAGGATAAAAAGAGAAGAGGATCAGGAGAGAAAAAAGGAGGGTGGAGTAAGGACATAACACAACGAAAAGGAAAAATATGGGGAAGAATATACAGTACAAGTATGCTACAGGATAAAGAAAATAAAGAAAACAGGCATGCAGAGAAAGGGAGAGAGAAGAGGTAGAAATAAAAAAGAGGGAGGAGAAAAAAAAATAGGAGGCGAAAGAAGTAGAGGAAGAATTTATAATTCTTTTTTTTCCCAATTGTTCTCCTTCTCGCTTCTCCTTCTTTTTCTGCTTCTCCTCCTCCTTCTTTTTCCTCGTTAACTTCTCCTTTTTCCTCTCCTTATCGCAGTTAATTTGCTCATTCAAACGACTGCTTGCTGGCGCGCAGCACAGTCAGCCTGGAATTATTGGAGCTCCTTCAATTTCGTGCGTATGCAACATACACAACCTTGCAGTACGAATAGTCGCATGGGTGCGCCTTCCATATCAGCACCACGTGCCGTGCCAGGCGGCCAGGCCGGTTGCGCCTACAGACCTAACAGGGATACTTCATGCATTGCGCAATGCTTGAAGTATCCCTGTTAGGTTTGTAGGCGCCAGTGCGCAGAAGAACGTGTGTTTTGACTGCGCAATTTAAACATTTTCGTAATCATTTTAGTTTTGAAAGAAAAACTAGTAAAATTTATTGCTAAAAAATTATATTCCTTCGAGGCCCTCTGAATTTCTGTCATTAAACTTCTTTTGGTGCGTCATTGGAACGCATTGCCACAAGTATAGTAGAATTTAACAGGCAGGCCGAAAACCAAATTGCGCTCCCTATATCGGCTAAGCACTTAACATAGAAATCAGTCTGTTAAATTATTATATATAGCCGTGATAAAAAATGAAAACGTAAGGAGCCAGTGAACTCCAGCAATAATAAATATTTTTTCAGAAGAATCTTGAAACGATCCTTAAGGGAAAGAGATAAATATATGTCACGAGGGGGATTTATGGGGGTAATGGCGATACTCGCATACCGAAGCGCTTTCCAAAATTTGGCAAGAATACTCTGAAATTAATTGCGTGTTTACACGAATATCCGGTCCAACATGAGACAGAGGTCAAAGACACAGT